ATATCAGTTCTCTTGGATTCAGAGTACTTATATAGAAGGAAAGTTTACCTACTTTTAGTACCCCAAAAAATATTATTAATAAGAGCCGTCCATCTTAGCATTAAATTTTGGTTTTTCGTTTCCTAATTTTCATCACTGCTGGTGGGTACTTGTGTAGTTTCACATCATGGTCATGAAGCTGGATGGCCAACCATTTTTTTAAATTAATTATTCTTTGTTACAGCTGGACTTATTCTTGTGTAGCCTAATAAATTGTTGCAATCAGGAAACTTCATCATCATTGTCAATGAATCTTAATATCTGATGGAGTTTATTAGATCCAATATAATACCCAACACAATCAACCCTTTCCATATCAATTTCATGCTGGTCGATTTGTAGCCTGTTTGTTATAGACCTTCGAAAAAAATTAAAATTAAAAGAAAAATTAGATAATGGATCCTATTTTTATGGAACACAACTACCCATTATCTTTTTTAATTCTAAAATAAATTTAAATTTTTTTAGAAAAGCCTTTCGCAGGCCCGAAAGCGCGTGAGGAGAGGCTAGTATATATATAAAGCAAAAGTTAGAGAATGGTGAAACATTCAAAATACCAGAAAATGACCTTAGTTAATGCAAACATTAAGAATTGAAATTATTAACTAAATGAGGATAATATGATAAATTCACACTTTTTCATTAAAAAAATTAAAATTAAAAGAAAATTAATGTATCATATTTTTATGGAACACAACTACCCATTATCTTTATATATATCTATATATATTCAAACATTAAGAATTGAAATTATTAATTAAATGAGGATAATATGGTAAATTCACATTTTTTTAATATTAAAAAATTAAAATTAAAAGAAAATTAATGTATTCTATTTTTAGGGAACAAAACTACCCATTATCTTTTTTAATTCTAAAAAAAATTTAAATATTTTAAATAAATAAAAAAGCCTCTCGAAGGTGAGGAAACGCGTGCGAAAAGGCTCATATATATAAAGCAAAAGATAGAGAATGGTAAAACATTCAAAATACCAGAAAATGCCCTTAGTTAATGCAAACATTAAGAATTGAAATTATTAATTAAATAAGGATAAT